TAAGCATGTTATTATTGCACTATTTTTGCAATAAATTTGTGAGAAAAAAATTGTCATTTTATGTCAATTATTAAAAAAATAATATGATGTATAATTTGCATCTAATTATTATAATTAATACACATATTCAATAAATACTCATAAATATCAGAAATACATACTGATAAAAATAAGTAATGATTACTGTAATACACAAGTAATGGTTAGTTAATTACTTGTAAACATTAGTTTTAGAAACTTAAGTTCTTTAGTAATGGGTTATCTTGGACAGAAGATTTTATGTAAACAGAGCTTGATTTGTTTAGTTTTTGATATTGTAAAAACTAGACATCCCAGTGCAATCACTTACCACGCGCGGTTTTAGTAATGATTACTAATTTGGGTTTACAGTGTGGGAATTGAATAGTAGGCCAAAAAATTTGCCTTCATCATATTACACTGGATAGTTACTGGTCACATTATAGTAGTCTTCAGAGCTTTTTGACAGAAAGATACCAGCCACCAGAAAAGTTACACAGTGGATCAAGACGTGTGCACCCTGACCAGTATAGGACAGGCTATGACACATACTTAATGGCGTGGACCGAGAGAAACGCGCGAGGAGCGGCTGAATCTCAGTGCGGAATGTCATCAAGACCTTGAGATTTCAACAGAAAATCAATTAGGCCGTAATGCGGAGCGGCGGGCCCGGAGCTAAATTGGCTGCTGTAGCGCTGAGGGGCCAGCCGCTTGACTCTCTCCCTGATTGTCCCTGGCAGAGGTCAGCGGGGCTCTCCAAACATTTAATACCAAACAACAACAATATCCACTTAACACAAATGATTACTGCTCCGAGTCAATCAAAGCCCTCCCTCAGAATCTCAAAGAGAGTCGCACGTAGGTCCCATATGAACGATGTTAGACTATTTAAACACATCTTGAAAGAAAAATAAATAAAGAAATAAAGGAGCACCGTTTGACATTGGTCCGTATAGCGGTGTGTGCTTTTGGTGACAGTGGTGTTCAGTGGCTTTCTCGTGCTCGGACTTGCCTGACACAAAGCGCGTGCAGCTCATACCGTGTGAGAACCAGTCAAGCCAGACGATCTGCTGCAAGGATGACATCTACAGGCGGCACAGGTAAAGTGCAGGTCCGTGTGAGCCAAAAAAAATAAAAAATAAAAAATCCCCAAACAGGGATTAGTAATTGTTACATGAAGAAACTGATGTGTAAATATTATGCAAGGCTACGGTTGAATATTTGAGAAAACAACACTTGCAAAAGACTTGGGCAGGTGTATAACACCATAAAAAGAGAAGTAGCCTACTTTATAATGGTGTAGGTCTATATTGAAATTTAAGGCTTAGATTTGACATTTTTCTTTTTATGCTTGTTATACTATTACTATTCTTACTTTCAACCAATGAAATAATTGCATATGTTTCAACAAGTATAGCATATTCCTGTACTTTGTCCTTTTAGTTTTGACTAATGGTATTTTGAGTAGAATGCACTGAAAATAGGTTATGTTCATTTCTCCACCAAATCCCACGATGATGTAAAATGTGTGTGTTGTTCCGTCTGGAAGTCTCCTGCAGTGTTTACTTTGAGTGAGTTTGGTTTTTCCTCTCAGACCCCCACTGACTCCCACATCTCTCCCCAATGTGGCTATTTATGGAACAGATTGGAAACAGGCAGTAATCAGCATGAATCCCATCTCACCCATCTTACAGTTGCCTAAGCAGCATCAGCTACAATGGATACAGAGCACAACAGACGATACCAAAACTGAAATCTATAAGAACCAAATATTTTCAGATTTTGAAAGGTTCTCATCTCAGTATTTATCAAATTGTAATTTAAGTATTTTCATTCCCGGTCTCTTCTGAATGCTGACACATCATCATGAATATTCATTTAGAATGCTCTTTTAGCTCAGAGTCACCACTTCTTGAACAGCCTAGTACTCTACAAGGACTATGTTCATTACAGGGTAATTCTCTGAAATAGTCATTGCCTGTTCTAACAACTGCAGGTGCAGGTGAAGGGTTATGTAATGTTGTAATAGCATGTAGGCTTGTCATAATAATTACTACATCTACACAAAAGCAGCATATTGTGACGCCTTGTATGTGCCAAATGCATAATACATTTCTACAGCAAGAAAGACAATTATCTTATTCATATCTGGACCTTTTTTTTTTCAAATCCCCAGTGTAATTGATTGTTCATCATTTATTGGGTATGTATTTATTTATTTAAAGGTCTTATATTACACAAAATTTAATCTTGGGCATGTTATAATGTTGTTAATTTATGAAAATCAATTTGTTTAATTCACATATGTTTGAGTAATCATTTACTTCTACATCTACATCTTCAAGGCTCAAATGCTTTGTGATGTCATGTAGTGGTAGGTTTTAATCTGTTTATCTATTACTTTTTGCTCAGTAGAGATTGGTGAAATTACCCAAATTATTTCAGTGAAGGTGTATGGAAAAAGCACAGAGCATCACTTCTTGACACATGACCTCACAAGGTGAAACAGAGTCTTTTCTGTTTGAGAGTGTGTTAAACATGTGTGAATGAAGCAAAACACAACTCCAGGAATGTTTTTGAGAAGGAAATAACATTAGAACCAAACACAAAATAGAGGGTATTTGTGTCCTTTGATTCATCTACATCAGGGGTGTCAAACTCATTTTGGTCCGGGGGCCATATCCAACCTACTTTGATCCCAAAGGGGCCGGATCAGAAAACTCATGGCATATATACCTCAAAAATAACAATAAGTTCAAATATTTGTGGAGAGAAACGCAAATCTATTATAGAAATATTTTTAAATTGATAAACTCTTTTTTACAAAATATTATATTATTATGAAGAACCTGAAACTTTAAGAAAAATGCAATTTCAACACAATATTTTAACATGAGCTTGTATGCAAATAGGAATAAGTAAATTTTCTCGGAAAATCCTGCACTTGGCATCCACTTTTCTCAGTTTTGACATTTTTCTGATGAGGGTATCATGGTCAACTGTCAAAACGATCGTCCTTTAAGAGCGTTTGGAAAGAGACAAGTCTTCATTTGTGCTGCTCTGGTGGGAGGGACCACGTACAGAGGCTTTGGAGACGCTGCTATGCTAAGCACCGCAGAAAATTACCAATATTTTAATAAAAATATTTAAGTTGAAAATCAGCCAAGAGCCAGATTAAAGGTCTTGGAGGGCCGGATCTGGCGCCCAGGCCTTATGTTTGACACCTGTGATCTACACTCTTTCAGGCATTACATATTTGTATGAGTACTGTATTCCTCCAAATATAAATGAAAATAAAATTCAGGTACATTCTATCATGTATACCTGTAAAAAAAAAAAAATCCTATTGGCCAACTGGCGCTGTGGGATACGAGTCCAATTAGAAATGCATCAATTATGTCAGACTGCTGTACCTACTTTCTTATGTATTTATAGTACTTTGTTTATGTAATCTTCTTTTTTTTACAAACACATTTCCTCCTTTTGTGTTGAGGTTATTTTTTACTGTGTTAATCTCCTGGAGGTGTCAGAATCCACAGCCTATGATTAAGTTCATCATTATTCTGCCCCATATTTGGGTCACATGGTCCCAGTGTACTCAACTCATTTGCATAATCTCTGAATACCATATCAAAACCCTGGTTTCGTTTTTCCAGCCTCACTGCCTCTGTGCTCTAGTGAATGTACCACTATTGTGTATTTGGTGATGAGACCAATGTTTTCATTCATGAGTTTATCTTTTTTCCTGCACTCTTCTGTGATTTATCAACAGCAGAATATGCAGCTGACAAAGAAAACTTTTAACTGGAACGTTATTTTTACTTCATATCTATATAATAATAGACAAATATGATTCAGTTTAAATATTTGTCATTATATTTGAGTTATCTCTACCTCTATGCAAATGCTTGAAGAATACATTTGTTATTTACAAGATAGCGTAAACAAACCGCACTGTGTGGAGATGAGGAATATCAGAATACTAAATCACCTCCAGCAGCGCTTTGCATCTGCCTCACACTGGATGAAAAAATCTACCATGCTGACAACCAGAATAAGAACAGCACAGTAGTATGGTCTAGATCTAGGCCTAGGGGCAAATAAAAACAATTACATATGTGTTAATTGCAGCTGATAACAGTCGTAATAATAAGATTGTTATCTGAAAAAGGTTATGCTATGACATGTTATTTATATTGCAAAAGAAAAATACTGCATCTTTAAAGCTCGCTTAATTAAAGCCAGGGAAATTGCTTTGTCGGTTACATCATTACATAGCTGCATTCAGCCTTTGTAATTCTGCAGTACTGAATTTCACATTAAGGAAAGACAAATTAGATTTAGGAAAAGTGAACATTGTTCTATTTTAAATTTTTGCTTTGTGCTGCCGAATCTCTTCCCATTCCATTTTTTTAAATCAGTCACTGTGCAGCCACTGAGGCAAAAGACCCTGCACTGCTGTTTTCACTGAGCTCCTCACAGCTTTGCATATTTGTGAATATACCTCTCACTGCAAACTTCAGAACACCAGCAGAGAGTTTTGTTTGTATTTAGAATAACAGTAACATGGCATTAGGAACTATTAAATAGGTATAGGTTAGAAAATAGCAAGTAATTAAAAATAATGGCCTGTCATTTTAATGAGGCTCTATTTATTTGCCTGAAGTCCACTAACCTCAAACCTGTTACTCTTTATTTCCAGCAGGGGACAGGCTTTCGACACTTTCTGGACAGCATGACAAGGAACACTGGAGCGGGAGGACAAAAAGAAATGCATCTTCAACTTGCATAGTATAGTTCACACTGATGATTGGCCAGCACACATTGTCAACTGTCAACCAAATCTACGTCTACATACAAAGAATTCAATAATGACTCAAATGAAAGCTAACTCTAAATCAAAGTCATACCCACGTGCCACAGTCAGGCAGGTTGCAGCATGCTTTCTTCTGCCCAAATTAACAGAAGCTGTACTGAGCATGCGCTGTAGGTGCTCATGTCAACCATTGGTAGTCTAGTTGAGGAAGTCAACTTTTGTACCTGAAAAGCAGAGTGCTACAGGTGAGTGTAAATTATTAATAGTTTACACGGTCTTATCGTGTTAGTACCTCTTTATGTTTAACACGAGCGTTTTTTTTTATGAAACTTTCCCAGTTGATCGCTTAATATCTTCGTGGTCGACTTGAAATGAGCGCATATAACTCGACTAACATCATAAAAATCTAATATGGCTTCTTGTATCATTCTCACTTTACTATAAATAAAGATAACTGTATATTTGGTTTGCTTATTTGGAAAGAGTCAATAGTCAGTTTTCTTTCGTTATATATTTTTGTATTAGCTCACATCAAACTGTATGCTGTTTATCTGCTTGAAAAGGAACAATATTTGAAATAATGATAATTGTATTTAAATCTAATGATAATCCCACACAGATAGGAAAAATACTTAAACTGAATTGATGAATTTAGTTACAGAATACTGAATACCTGCATTAAAATGTATTTTGTAACTGTATTGGACTGTATTCTGAATACTTAGAATACTTCTACATCAAGTTGCATTTAAAATATAGTGTAAAAACGTAACATAGTATTAATAACAGCTCTATATTTGTTTCACTGTTTTTAAAAAATTTCCTATTCCTAACTGGAGATGGAAACATCACACATGCACCCATCACAGGAGCAGAATTGTTTATTTTTCTCACAGATTTTAAGAAATTAAGCATGATTATTAAATGCTGTAATATATTATTTTGATTTTAGAAAAGTAACTGTATTCTGAATGCCACCAAATGAAAAAGTAACTGTACTGGAATACAGTACAGGAATACAGTTAGTCAAAATTAGTGTTCAGAATACGTATTCTTTGTACATGTATACAGTTACTAACCAACACTGTAATCCCATATGGTGTTTTGTGTTTGAAACAGAAATGACATCACTCATCCCGGACCTGGAGCAGCTGGCAGAGATAGGTAAGTTTATGGCATGCACCTACTCTATTGTCATTGTGGACAGAATGAAGAAACAATAACTTAAACACTAAAATATGTCTATAACGGCACTTAGCCTTATTCTGATGTTGTGGGTTTGTAGAGCTTTAGTTTATTTTCTGGTCTAAATTGAGCCTTTTGTGCACCCCAGTTTCCTCCCTGTTATCAGAAATGGTGTGTTACAGAAACTCCCCACTGGGCAACAGAATAAACTTCCACAGGACAGGCTTGTCTGCATCAGCGTTTCCTTTACGCTGCATCAAACATCAAAACCAAAGCAGACACAGCCATGATTCAGGGGAAATGGCTTTTACTTTTATTTTCACAACCTGAAGTCAAATAAAATACATTTATTTAAATTTTAATGCCTTAAATTATAGTGTATATGTAGTTTCATGTTTTCTGCACTATTCGTATTATAGAAGGAGGAAAAATCACAAGCACTCACCACAACAGATGTGTTAGATTTATACTGACTAATGCTCTTCAGTTTGAAGCCTTACTTGCATGATGCAGCAGTGTATTCCCTTTTGATTCACTGTGTAAGTAATTGATTTCTTAAGAGACCATGTTCACAAGCTATAGTCTTTCTTTAAATCTTTATACACTCAAATGGGATCCTTAAAAATACATTCTAAGTTGTTTTCAAACCACTCCAAACCAAATGTTCAAAACTGTAAACTGCCCACTAGGGGGCACAAGATTTGCTATAGTAGTACATAGGTTTTCAAACATGCCACATACCACCAAAATCTTTAGCCTTCTGAGTACCACCCGACTTAAACTGGGTCTATAATGGGACTATATCAGGGCTAAACCAGGTCTAAAACAAGTCTAAAACATATGCTATAGAAGTTTTAAACAAGGATCTACTCAAAAGAGAAGAAAATTGATTCACTCTAAAGTGAGTATTAACATTTGTCCAGGGTTGGTTCTGGTTTGGGCCATGTTTATGACCTAAATCAAATTTGGTCTGGTCCCGTTCTAGTTCTGGTTTAGTCCTGGTAGTTTTGGTTATGCCCCAGGTTTCGTTCAACACTAGAACCGAAGGAGTATCATGTACCATCAATACAGTTTGAAATACCACTGTGGTGAAAAGCCATGATGAAATAACTTTACTTGAACTTGTTGTTTTTCTGTTCAGAGCTTCAACGGGAGGATGAAGAGGATCCAGTGTCCAGCACAGATGGTCCTCCCAGCAGCAGATGCAGCGTTGACCTCTCTCACCCGTACTATGACATCGCCCGTCATGGGATCATTCAGGTCTCTGGTCAGTGACTTGTAGCTCACAGAAAATAGTTAATAGTGTTTAGCAGTTAAATGAAATAAAGCATACATATTTCTGTTTCCAGGAGATGACAAATATGGAAGGAAGTTAATTGTCTTTAGTAGTTGCTGTCTGCCTCCGTCTCATCAGCTGGATCACCACAGACTTTTACAGTACTACAATTAAGTACATCAATAAACCTTTTAAAAGTAAATGTGCCTAAAGTGTACTGTTTTCCACTGTAGATACCTGAAGTACACACTGGATCAATATGTAGAGATGGACTATATCCTGGTGTATTTTCATTATGGCCTGAGAAGCACCAACAAACCCTCTCTGAAGTGGTTAAGACAAACCTACAATGAGTTTGACAGGAAGTAAGTTTTTATTTTGTGATTTTTTATTTTTTTTTAGATCAAAGATAATTCTTAAAACTGCTTCAATGCACATTTTATGGACTTAATATTAACATTTTGGCATTCTGTTATATTTTCCATGATTCATTTAATCAATATTTTCAGATACAAGAAAAACTTGAAGGCCCTTTATGTGGTCCACCCGACAAACTTTATCAGAATAGTGTGGAATCTGTTCAAGCCTCTAATCAGGTATGCAAACCCTTTACATTTTGAAGCTGAAAATTGCATTACTATTTTTGTTTTGTTTTTTCCCCCAGTCACAAGTTTGGAAAGAAGCTTACATACGTGAATTACCTGGCTGAGTTGAAAGATTATTTGAACTATGAGCAGCTAATAATCCCTACTGATGTGATTAAGTAGGTTACATGACTATTTTTAAAAGGAAATACGTGCACATGGCTTGTTTCTGATACTTCTGCTGTGCATATTATAACAGACATGATGAGAAGTTACGTGCAGCTCAGAAAGATGGACCACCCTCTTCAGTGAAACAGCCCCCTCCTCGCCCCCCTCTGCCCACGCAGCAGTTTGGTGTCAGTCTGCAGTAGTAAGTCTTTGCTTCCTGTTATTTACTATAACCACTGTGATCTTCTTTTATGAATATACACTGTATGTTTTTTTTCCAGTTTACGAGAGAAGAATGCAGGGGCAATAATCCCACTAGTGATGGTCCAGACTATCACATACTTGAAAGAGAAAGGTGACTGTTCATAATAATAGTGACAAGTGCCATAGGAAATGCATTGTATTGTATAGTTTTGTTTTTTTAATTAGTTTCTTTTTTTTTCAAAATAAGGTTTAAAGACAGAGGGGATCTTCAGACGCTCTGCTCGTGTTCAACTGATAAAAGACATTCAGAAACTCTATAATCTGGGTATATAAACATTTCCTAAAGACCTAAAGGAAACGGGGAAAGTCTAAAATAATACTGATAGTTATTATGTCATTGTTCCAGGTAAACTTGTAAACTTTGAGCAGTACGGTGACGTCCATGTTCCTGCTGTCATCTTAAAAACATTTATCCGAGAGCTGCCTGAACCATTGCTCACTTTCAGAGTCTACAATCAAGTGCTGGATCTAATGAGTGAGTTTCAGTTGTTCTTTTATGTAATTTATTATTGAAATTTTTTTAAATTAAAACAAATGTATGATGTGCGCACTGTTTACTAAGTATATACTGTCCAAACACTATTATTTCAAATTTGTAATACTCACAATTTCATTTTAATTTTGGAATATTTGTTTAACAAATTTTAAAATGTCCATTAAATTACAGTATCTGTTGTTTTGTCTTGTTTTGTAGAAGTTGAAAGCTGCCTTCGTGTGACTCGATGTAAACAGATAATTGAGAGTCTTCCTGAATATAATTTTATTGTAGCCAAATACCTGCTGTATTTTCTCCACATGGTACATCTCCACTTGTTGCCTCTCATTTCTATTTTCATCTCTTTTATATCACTATATTTGAATCTGGTCTGGTATAGGTGTCTCAGGAGAGCATCAGTAACAAGATGAGCCCTTCTAATCTGGCGTGTGTCTTTGGGGTGAACCTGGTCTGGCCTCGGCACAGCTCTGTATCTCTCACTGCTCTGACGCCCATCAACATCTTCACTGAGATCCTCGTGGAACACTGCCACACGGTGTTCAACTCGCGCCACTGCCTCAATGAGGTACTGCCCTGAACTAGAGGCTTATACAGAGACACATCATTGGTGCTGAAGCTCTGGTACTTGGAAGAGGGGAGTGAAAAGTTGTGTTTGAAGAGGCACCCCCTGATAATTTTCCCCCAGCAACAGGGCTGTTTATTAGGTCAATTAAAGTTTGACTTTATAACTTTTCTGGTGAAAGGTCTGCCACCTTGATTCCATGGAGAGAGGTATTTTTGAGAGATACAAACCTGTAGTTGAATAAATGCAAGATTTTAATGACATATTGTGGAACATGCCAAAACTATCTCCTTAGAGACTAACACGCAGACCCTCCACCATTAAAGTTACATAGTGTACCTTTTAATACATCTACTGAATTTAAAGCAATATTCACAATGAATATGTGAAAAATATTACTATACTGTGAGCTGTCTTTTATGCATATTAGAAAGTAATCAAACTGTAAACACTACTTCTTATTTTAACACTGGATCATATTTTTTGTCACTTAGCACTTTTATATGCATAGTTTGTCTGCTGTTATTAAACTTTAACCACACTGACTGATATAACGCTTGTTACAATTACAAAAATAACTCAAAATAGCTAGTCTCTTTTAGATAGTATGATGTATTGAAATAAAATAAAGTGGACTGAACCAGTTGCTCTTTAAACCTGTTTATTATTATTGATTCATTTTTTAAGAACTTGGTACAAAATTGATACTACTCTTTACCATTTATCAACTTCCATTGATCAACTTTCAATGCATCATAAAGAAGAAAAAACTACATTGGCATATGTAAGACAAACACTTTCCTATACACACTATCCACTGGACGGTTCCCTTAATGACAAAGAAAAAAACTTACTACTTTAACAGCCAAAAGACACTTTAAATTCCATCCAAACCTCTTTGTGTTGTCTTATTATGGCAAAGTAATACATCAGACATTGCAAGCTAGAAGTCAGAATGCAGAATAGGCAAATCCATAAAAAAATCCTCAATGTTCTTGCTTCATTTTTTGCTTGATAAAAGAATATAAAATGTTCTACGTCTTTTTTATCTTATTTGTTCAAATGTTGTGTTGTGTATTAAAATATATCTGTTTAAGCACTGCACAGTTTCTCCCGGAGAAGATTGATAGAAACGAATGAAGAGGAGGTTTTGGGGATTTGATGGGTGGACAAAGATATGATCCATCTTATGTTATTCTCACACCTGGGTTCACAGGTGGGACATTTGATATGCATCACATGGTACATTCTGACAGCTTTTTAACCCAAAAAATGATAATGATACTGTTTGTTTAAAGGCAAGTCGGGTGCAGTGTTAATGCATATGTCTATCCGGCAGATATATAGAGCCCTACTGTTTTGTACATAAATAAAAACAGTGTGCTTAGGTACAGCAGTGTCATAGAGATTGACGATCCACAAATAGTATAAGGTGATTTTAACTTGGAAATCAAGGTCAAATAAATGTAATAGCTTGATATTGCAGTGTTACAAGTTAATACAACAATGAATAAGGCATGTTTGTAATTTTTGTTGTTCTGATGGGGTGTCTACTAAAGTTGTTTATACCTTGTACTTTTATACCTAACAAAGAATATTTTTATGTCAACATTGACTTAAATAAATGTCTTTGTAATATAGGCAAATCTTGTGTACCAGAACTTCACCTGTTGATGATATGTTGAGTTTTAATACAGAAAATAACATTTAAAAGCTGCCCAACATTTTTTGATCACATGCTCATGTTAAAATAAATGTTTATTACTACCTAGATAATGTGCACAGAGTTGTATTAACAGCATCTAAATACGTAATATGTTCATTTAGCCACTTTGCTTGATTTTGATTCATTTTTGCAGCTGCTAATTGAAAAAGTACATATTATAAAGGTGTTTAGAGGGTTTTAATAATATTGCTTGTTGCGTATACCACTCTATTTTTTCTCACTCATTTTAAAGCCTTTGATCAAGAGTCTTGCAAGCTGCACATTGGACAAAAATACATCAAATGAATAATGTAAACAAAAAATTAATTACATCTAGTGATTTCCCTCCCATAAAGGCATTTTCTGAACTTAAAAAATGTCTTTGTATGTTTGTGCATTTGTCTCATACATCTGGTGTAGCTATAAAATCAAATACAAATCACAAAAAATGCTGCTGGACTAAGGAAGACTAGCAAGACGTGGATGAGAAGGAGACAAAGTCGGCCCCTGGTTTAAACTTTGAGACAAACCAGGAAGTGACCGTCTCTGCCACGTGCATCCATCAAAAGCCAAAGATCGCAGTTAAACAAGTTTGTCACATTTTGATTCACGTTTATAAAAGAATCAAAGGCAAACCGCTGCATTACGGGTTTGCACTTGAGGCAGTGTTGATCTGTAACAAGCATGTCACTGTTAACTCTCAAAAAACACAAGTAAAAAATTTATTGAATAGAAAATGCAGGGAACGAAAAAGCACAGTATGTATTATTGTACGATGACTCCAGTAAACAAAGGTTTTTGGCATATTTGATACTGGTTTAAGGACATCTGTTTGATGTGTTTGTGATGAGTTGAAAAAGGTTATGTTAATCCCTGCTGGTGAATGCTCCTTTCTCTGCACAAACAATAGGAATTTGGCATTATGACAAAGATCTTAAGAGTCAGGCTATAAATCTATACATTAAACGGGGTGGTATTATGATAAATAATACCAAATAAATAATGTATATTTGTATCATTGGTTAAACATAGACAGTAAATGAGTTAGTGTTAAATACAGTACCCAAATACTTTGACTGGTAAAGTCTGTATATGTATGTTGCTCTACTTTTTAATTTCTTCGCCAATACTTCTTATTAGCGTTTATGTTTCTTTTCAAGCAAGTGGCCCAATAGGGACCCTATGACTTTGATGTATCTCCAGAAAAATCACTGAAACAAATCCTGATGACAATGTTTTAAAACATGTACAGTGATCGCCTTGAATACTTCAAACATTTGTATCAATAGGCAAGCATGAAAATGCTAACATTTTCACTAGAAATGCTAATTTATGTAGTCTTCTCTTAAATACTTTTCTTTAACTATATTTAACACTGAAAAAGTTATTTATCTGTTTTGTTTGAAGGCTCATATGCATTTATAAACATAATGAAATCCTGAACTTGTATGGCAAAAACCTTCATAGGAGAATGAGAACATCTACTTGAATATAGCACTGTACAGTCGTTCATTGCTCCTTTGTTTCTGGCACTATAACTAACTCTACAGTTCTCTCTCACTATATTCAACAGTAACAGTAATTAGACCTGTGTTTTAAAAAAGGGACATATCTTTAGGCCGCACAGAAGCCTTTCTAGATTTCTGCTGCAGCATTCAAATCTATCTTCTGATATTAATTACATTAAGGCCAAGAACATTAATAAATACAAAATAACTTAAAAAAGAAATCTCATAAGCACTGTAGGTGACTGTTTTAAAAAATACTTCAAATCCAAGCTCTTGTCAGTTTTTGTCGCTTTTTTTCATCAGGACAAAGCTCCTCAGGAGGGGCTAGTTGTTGTCCTGGCTCTGAGCATGGCTCTTCTGGGTAGGTGTGGCCAAAGGGCTGGTCATGGCGGTGCTGGTGGGTTTCATCCAGGCCTGGGACAGCAGTGAGGCTCCAAGGGTGGTGGTGGTTGTCATGGTGACCTGGATGACCTGGTCGCGCTGGATGAGTCTGAGGAGAGACTTGATGCGGTCCAGAGAAGCGCGAGTGTCCCTCTGCTGCTCAAGCAACCGCTCCCTCGTGTCCATGCATTTCTGTAACACAAACAGGTTGTAATGGCATAGAGTTATGACAAAATGTGGTCAAAACACTGTGATTTCAGACTGTTCTTGACAAGGGGTCCTACCTCGAGGGTTTTATTGAGCTTCTTGTCTTCCTCCTCCAGATGAGCACACTCTTTCTTCAGCTCATTGTTCCTCCTCAGCAGCCGCCTCTTCTCCTCCTGCCTCACTGCAAGTGCATAAATACAGTGTGAACACTAATGTCCCTGTGAGACATATTTTATTAGCACACATTACTCACCAGTTTTGTGTGTAACGTACGACTGGACAAAGTTTTGTGGCCACGATAAGTTTTCTTTGTTCAGTACCTGTGGTAAAGACACATATGACATTTTTCTATTCTACAGCTTTAAGCACTGTATTATAGATTTAACCCACTGTTGTAATTCGGAAACTAGCTTTTGGTCAGTAACATTATAGAAGAAAATACATTTTAAACTGTAATCTATGTTGGTTAATAAACAAGCAAAGCAACTATAACCAGATACCTTCTTTTGGCACTTGGGGCAGTACCAGGGGCCTCTGGGAGGGGTTTTGAGTGGAGGGTGGAGACAGTTGGGGTGAAAAACTCTGGGGCAGTTATGGCAGGGCTGCACCTCACCATCTTCTTTACAGACAGCACAAAGTTCATCATGCTCCAAGTCATCCTGCAATGCAAACAACAACAATAAATAAACACAATAAGATGTTTATGTTTCTGGTATTTCAGTGGTTTTATAAACATTGACATAAAACACTTGGGTTTGTCGTATTTGGTAGTAGTCATGTTTTTGCTAGTAATGTGACGTACCTTCCAGCAGAAGTCCTCGGAGTCTAGGTGTGGATGGAAGCGAAGCACAGGTTAGTCACAGACACATGGATTAAATCCGTGCAACAGATACAGTGTATACACGTTAGCATTAGTTATTTTAGGGGGTTGACATAAATTCAAACAAATACAGGGACAATGGTTACACAAAGATAACAAGAAGACAATGCCACAATTAATATTGTTACTGCTCCTGTTTTACCTCGTGCCGTCAGGTAGAGAGAGCTGTTCAGGTAATGGGATGCCAGGCGCTTACGCTGTAATTATATGAAGTTCAGAATTAGATCATTGCAGAAGTTTGGCTCACTAAAGTGAAGGACAAAGTTTATCTAACCTCTGGTTCAAACAAGCCACTGTATGCTGGGTTTGCTGTGCTTCGTCTCTTCCTCTCTTGCCTCTTCAGTTGGATTTCTGCAAAACAATTCATGGAGAAGATGAATATACAAATGACATATTACAGTATATACATGAACAAATACATATTTCAAATTAAGATGTTTATAAAAAATTCAGTTAAATCTAATAAAATTACCTTCCAGATGGTCTGTGGTAACAAGGCCGAGGGCCACCATGAAAGCAACTTTCTGTAAAACAAGTTTATTCATACATTTATCCAATGTAATGACTTTACTGCAATAACAGCACAGAATAATTCTTACTTCTGGATCCTCGTCTTTCTTTGTGGAGGGGGATTTAGGGGAGGGCACATCATGCTGTGAGGAAAACTCAGTTTGGCCTCCAGGGGACCCCTCACTGCTGTTGGGCACCTGTGACTGGATTATTATGACCTGGTAGAGCAAAAATATACCAAAACAAAGGTAATTACTTTTTTACCATACTATCTATAGGTTTTCCTAATCCATCATAGTAGCATGCCTTGTTTTCAGTGCTGAAGATCAGTGGCTGCACTTTGACAGTCTCGCTGATGCCTGACACTCCGTTGGTGGCAGCAGGAGATGCAGCAATGATGGCGTACGCTACACCAGGACCTGCTGAAGCATGCTGCACAGGATTGCTGGACTCCAGTGTCCCAGTGAGGCAGTGGACAGTGGGCCGAGGGGGGGAGGTGGCCCCCTGCCTCTCTGGCTGTTGGTCTGGGCTCAGCGTGCTATTGGCGGTGGGGAGAGTGGGGCCCTGGCTCCTGGGGCTGACCACTGCAGTGGCCTTCTGCAGGCTGATAGGCTGGAGCTCCTGGCAGGGACCACTGTGAGGAAGGCTGTCTGGGATCTGGGTCTTTGGCCTGACCTGTAGCAACCCACATGTATCATCAGAATCATCACAAACTACAGCTACCATTCACAGTATGATTGAGTTATAACATAATAGTTAGAGAAATCATGCTGATTCACATCCAACCTCACCACAATCATTTTTGTTACATGTAGTATACAAGCACAGCACAGTTCCTTTTTACATGTGCTGCCACCTCGTGTATGACACAGCTGTTTACAGGGTCAAAACAGATTTGTAATTCATCACTGAGTAAAACCATTACAAAATAGAGAAAAGTTATATTTACCTGAGGTAACACTGTGGCGGCTTGTCCTGCCAGCCGATGCAAAGAGCTGACTTGAGGCACCTTGATAGGCACAGCAGTGAGGGTCCCCAACATCTGCACGCAAACAGTTGTCATAGTTACCACAAGCAAATGTTACTCACAACTGCACATGTGTGTAAAGATTACAGTCAATATCTATTTACAGAAAAGATGGCTTCTAATATAACAGTACATTTATGTAAACTAATTATAAATTATACAGACACAATTAAATGCATAATTATGTGTTATTTTGCAATATTTATTCCATGATATAGATGAAATGATTCTTCAGACAGAATATGGTAATCTATATAAAGACGACTTTAATCAGTGATTTCCCATTTCCTCATCCTGCTCCGACTGTAAATACAGCCCCGGGAGCTCAACTGTTTACACTCTAAACTTGGTGTCTGTGTTTAAGAGCTCATCTCATTAAAGGATCGCTCTGCCACAGAATGCTGCACTTTCTCCTCTTGTTAGTCACACACATTCCGCTCTCCCATTGTTCCTCGGCATTAAGTGGGGAAAGAGCAGCAGCCTAACAAGGACCACAGCATCTGTCTGAATAAATATGGGGCAGCATGTTGTTAAGAAGCAGCGACCTCGAAGCTGTGGACACAAATAACTATGTAATTCACAGGTCTTCACTTTAATTTATAGTTAAACAAATAGTTTAACTGAGAGGTTCTCAAAATTTTCACACCAAGTACCACCTAAGATCCATACCATTTTGGTCCATACCTCCAAAAACATGATTTGGCTTGTTTAGAAGTGGCTCATAAGACCCAAATATATGCAATTTGTGCACACATCTTTGGCACTTCCTGTTTCCTGCTTGATTCCAAGAAAAGGGAGAAAATAGGAAACTTTTCACCTTCTCCCCCTCCCCCTCCTCTCCTCGTTCTTGCTCAGTGAAAATTTCTTCCTTGCTTTGTATTGTGCTGCAGAACAGGCTGCACAGTGAGGAGGGGGAGGAGGCAGCCAAGGCCTGTTCCTATGGCAACTGCAGAGATGAAAATTCTTGCAGTGCAAGGCTTTCATTTTCGTAATTGTTGCCTCTTTTCTCCAAAGCTAAGCACCTTCATGGAGGGGGGCTGCTCCCCTTTCTCTGAGCACAACCTTGGAAGAGACGTTTTCTGTTTTTGAAATAATTTCCTTTTCTCAGAGCTGAGTGGAGCGTAGCTAAGACAGATGACAGTCAGTAGTAAAGGCTGGCAGCCCACCTCCATCCTCATAAGTCTATAAAGCAGCACCCATAAATCAGTTTGTCACTGTGTCATCCAGGGGGGACTCAAACAGAGCAACCTGAGGTTCACATGTCCAACTAAACATTTATATCTACGACTAAAACTGCTACAGTTGACCCAACCCAAGTGCTATGAAGTAAAACCAGTTTAAACTACACTGTTACCTGCACATTACGTACGCATCAAAGTACTGTAAAGTTAATTATAAGTATAAAAGGTCAAATGGAGAGAAGGTTTAATGAGGACATACACATAAGATGTCAATGTGGGAACAACAACATCTGTCAGAGAAATGTTGTAGATGTTGTGCATTTATCTATAGTGTACAATAAACTTATAAATGATAATACATTATGTTATGTTACTTCCAGCATGCTAGAGAGGAACAAACATCAGCCAAGACCATGTAGTTCAGACTGAAGTCGTCAGAGGGCGCTGTCTTGAGTTTACTTTGCTCTACATAAACATGTAAATGTTTCTGTTGAGTTCAATATCATATGGAAAAGAACAACTATACACAATTGAAATTATCCAATTATTGCCCTACAGTGAATATCTTTATTGATTAACTGAATTTTGGCTTGTGCCAAGTCCACCCTCTCTAAAACTATAGCTCTCTCAATACAGCCCATGTCAATGTTCAAGGCAAATGCCTACACTGTATTCAAAGTAAATAGTACTTATTAAATGAGGTTAAACTTCAGATGTACAGTATTTCATGGCTGCCTCACACAGAGGGAACAAGGAGTCACTTGAAGGAATGTACTTGATCAGGACTTTGATGCCCTTGAATGATGAGAAAGATCACAAAAAAAGATATTAAGCACAACAATGATCCACTAAATTCCATAATCCTTTGATCCATTTTAACATGTATCATTACATTACATTTCCTGTCTAGGTTTGGGATAAGTGACTAAGTGAAATGTGGCAGTGGATTGGGAGACATAATGAAAGCCCTCCTGAGTTGACTGAAACAATGTGGCTCTAAAGTGTGCACTCATGCAGTGCAGCAATCCCATTACATCTCATTATTGATCTTCAAATTAGTGGCCAGGTGGTCTGTGGGACACCCCTCCTCTTCAATGAACAATGCAGCCTTGCTGTTTGCTCTCTGATTGGCTGGAGCATTATACAACTGTGGATGGTGTGGAGGTACCTTTAAATTGTGTATTATAGGTGCACAAAACACAAAGATGTCTGCTCTGACCCATCACCTCATGTGTCTAGGTCTGGGAACCAGTACCTGAACAGTACTTTTGATAACTTATTTTGTACAAATCATGAACAAGAATAACAAATTGTGTTCATAAATTGCATTTAGAATTTCTTTGATGAAAAACTGTAGTTTTAATTATTCATTTGTGATCACACTGCTTAGCAACTTTCTGTAGTGTTCTCCCAGCACTCACCAGGTAAAACTAATGATCAGAATAAAAAAATATTATTATTTTTTATTTTTATTTTTTTCAACACTGTACTCATACCTTAAAACTTCACCCTGTTCTGTGAGACCAGCCAAAGGCACAACACAATTATTATGAATTCATTCTCAAACATATCAGTATGCAATCTTGAGATACTGCACTTCGATGACAGACAGGTGATGGACAGACAGTGGGGCTAATAGACAGTGTGATGATAAAAGTGGAGCCTGAGGCCTAAGGCCTGGCCTCTCTCTCTCTCTCTCTCTGAGGGGCTGTGCAATTACTGCAGGAGTGTGAGGCTGCCAGGCCCAGCCCAGCCTGCTCCTGCTGTGGTGCTGAATACAGAGTGGAGCTACTGCACTGTGCCATGAATCCTAACAGGCTTCTTTAACAAGCACAGTTCAAACTGCTCCTAATGTTTTAACAGCAAAGTCTGTTTAGTCACTTCAATGGAGAAACATCTGGCCACAACAATAGGTCTACATTAGACTATGACCTTCATGTAGAAAGTCATTCCTCTGTTTAGACTGGAGCACTGTGAGGCTGTATTTAAATGACATACTGAAGGAGATTTCACTCTGCTTGGAGAGCTTCCCTCATACTGTATTATTATGATTAACAGTTGTCTGTGGAACACTTGTTAACTCAAGGCAAAGGACAACATACACCAACATTTAATCTATAATTGTTCTTTATGAATTTGAAATGGAAATAATAAAGTAAAGAAACTGCTTGGGATGTGGATGCGAACCTTTTCCTTCACCTTTCTGTCGCCATAGAAACTGGAACACAGCCACATATAGAGGATATATATGGACTGGACAGTATATGGAAATAATGTAATGAGTGTAGTTTCTAATGCACCATTCTATTTACATTTGCTGTAAGGTTACCTGGGAAGGAGGCAGCTCTGTTGCTCTCCTGCCGCTCAGCGTGTGGACACTAGCAGCCACCACTCGGCTACTGGTTTGGAGGCTGATGGGGGATGTCTGCAATGATTCAGAACTTGGCACTTTTTGTCCGTTAATGTGTGCTGTAACCATAGAAACAGGGGCTTTGGCTGGCACCACAGAGATGGCAATGCCCTGGCCGGAGCTCTTGATGAGGGACAGCGGCTTGGTCGTCCCGACAGGACAGGTCCGGACCGCCAGCTTCTGTGAGGAGACAAAAGAGGAGCTATGAGACTTAACTGAGCATACAAGCTACTGCGGTACACCAAAGTGACACGACTCATACTTTATAGCAGGAAACTAGACAGATAGGGGAAATAATTTTTTTTCAGTATATAACAAGCAAACCAACACTCAGACAACTTAGCTTCTATACTGCACAGTGCATACCATACCTGGTTAAGCCCATACAGCTCTGAAAGCAGTACACATAAAAAAGATAATTTAAACAAGAAAGCGATAAAGGCTGATGTGTTTAGCATGGTTTATTATAGTGGAATATTTATTTTTACCTTTTAAAGTTGTATATTTTTGTAGAAAAAACATTTAGTCTTAGATTTAAAAAGGGTCATGGAAAAAGGCATTATAATATTTAATATTATAGCTCCTTGAATGTAAATAAAAATAATTGCTTTTTTGTCACCGCTTATGAGCTATTAATCAATTACTATTAAACTGCTGCATTTTTTTCACTAAAAATCCCTGAAAAATTATTTAACAACAGATCGACTCAATGTTGTAAGTCATCATGTAAGTAAGGGCCATAGTCAACTCAAGACATCTGTGCATCTGTGCAGCTCTGTGCATCAATTAATTGACTGAAAGAGATCTTAGCATGGCTCTCAAAATTATTAAGATTTTGTGCAAAAACTACTATGTACCCAGAGACGTACTAGAAAACAGCTTCTTGAAGTAACTGTTCAGTCACTCCCAAAACTGCTGCTCAATCCATATTTTCTCCTTTCTGCTGTTGTCCATTAAAATCCTTATTATCCCAATAAAATAAATAATCAACCAATAAAACATTTTGTCAATTAAGACACCATCGACCCAGTCACTGACTTATTGACTTTATGAACTACAGGCTTATTTTCCCTGAATATTCAGAGTTTAATCAAAGTTCATTTGAACAGGACCCAGTTGTTTTGAGCTTTAGGCTGTTTTGTGAGCAGAACAGGCCTGGCATTAGATCACTTTAGTTCAGGGGCTCAGAGCTGCTACAGTCGGCAGACTGGCCTCACACCAACCACACTCTCCCCTCCCCCACATGTCCACTGCCTCCTCCTCTTTAGGATGAGAAAGACAAATACATCTTCCAAAGCACAGATAAGTACACGTCAGTGTCCCTCTGCTGCACCCACACATCTGAACACAGTCAGTCTAAATATTTTATAGTGGCCCAGGCCCTGTATGCTTCACATCTGCACATATGCTTTGTGCTCTGCTTTGTGGGTGTGGACATGATAGGCGTGAGGGATTTCTTACGCTCTGACAGCAGCAGGCTGCACTGTGTGATTTTGGTCCAAGCTATGCAGCTCACAGTTTGAAAGCTTTTGCAGACCTGACTAGCTACACAGGATTCTGTAATTAGACAGAGAATGCATTTTGGTGAGGAGGTTTTACGAACAACAGTTAATGCCAAGAAAATTACAATTTTACTTTTAAATTTTGAATTAGGAAATTGAAAAATCTTCTCTTATCTCTTGAAAAGTACTGTTGCAGAAGGAAAACATAGGACAGGACTTGAAGAAAAAAGAATGCAGTTATTAGAGAGGCCCCAGTGGCATCTGGCATTTAGAGTGGTCAAATAAAATCTCCAATAATCACATTTACTGCACTGTGCATATTCCACAAATCTCACACATTGACACTGAGGTACAGTTGTGTAAATAAATTAGAATATTCATTCTAAGAACACTGATTACGGGATTACTTTTGGGAAAACAATTAATATAGTAATCAGAAAAGAATATATCATATTTTATAAGTTAAATTAAAATGACTGATGATTGTAAAAGGCTTCATTGTTTCATGTAATCAATGTTATCCACAGGGAGCGAGTAATGGTGCCCGGGGGCCAGCGGAGTCCATTCATGGTTGTTCAGAGCGGACCACCTCTGATTGTATCAAAGGTCACACATTCAAAGCCCTGCAGCAGAGGAGCCAGAGGAAACCCTCCTGTGGAGAGCTCACACAAACCTGAATGAGAAAGCAGTCAGCAGGTACTACACATATGTACTCACTGCACAAGCATCAGGGGCCCATTCTGCAGTAACAATAAAGCAAGTGCAAGAGCAGGCCCTGTTTAGCACATCTAACCCAAAAGGTGATAACATTTGCAGTTATTCTGTTTTGAATTTGATTATTGAATACTATGACTTTAAAGTATAACAAAATTAAATTATGTTTAATTATGTTTTAAAGTCAGGATGGGAATCAGGAGCACATTTGAGCATGCTGAGGAGCATTTAGTTATACATGAATACAATATAGAACAGGGTTAGCCAGGAAATGTTTAACTGCAAGACTTCTAATAGTTTTTGCTCTGTTGTTCTGCCTATACTGTACACTTTGCATCTGAATTTGTAATTATATTTTATTTAACTTATTCTACTGCATGCCCTTATTTTAGTTTTATCACAGTTTATATTATTATTCTTTGTTTTATGTTGCACCATAATGCCAGATTTCCTAGTTTGTGAATTTTGTTAACTGACAATGGCAATAAAACTAATTCTGATTCTGTTAAACCTTTCTAGTTGTTTGCGATATATTGTGCAGCTCTACAGAGCATCTTGTTCCATTTTAGTGCAGTTATGACTTCCTCCTCCTTATAACTGTACCACAGATTTAGCCACAGACCAAAGCCCTGGGCAGCAGGTGCACAGTGCTGGGCTTTGTCTAAGACTTCTCTAAACAAGCTGTTCCGCACTTGTATCACGCACAGAGCTTCTGACTGAGGTGGTCCCATCAGCAAGGGTCCAGAGGGCAGAGACACACTGACAGAGGAGCACTTTCCTGACACTTGTGGTGCTAAGTTACAGCTCACAGGACGTAGCTGAGAGGGGCTGATGGCACAGGTCTATCTGCAGTGGACTTTAGACCCCCAGATAATGTACACCATGCACTAAAGTAAAAAACACATCATGTGCAGGTGCTAAAGAAAAAAACACAAGACAAAAAAGGTATGTGTCTAATTGTATGACACGCTTGTATTGACGTTTGAAATTTATTTTTTTGTGAATTGAAATTAACAGTCCCCATTTAGAGTGATGCTTATGACTCCTCCTGAGAGCCCTGTCTTACACGTCGAATATAGAGACAAGTGGTGTTCACAAACTGATCAGCAAGCATTGTAAATGACATAAAGACTGCTGGGAGAGCACTTTGTGTAACCCCAAAGTCATATAAAATGTGTGATTTGTTATTTTGCAACACTCCACATTAGCAATGGGCTGTTGGTGAATGGATCGGCTAAAAAAAATCTTTGTAGTGAATCCAAAGAGCCACCTCCTGCAGGTGAGAGCTGAAAACAGCAGAGGACATGATCTATAATAACCTTACAAATCATAACAAATAAATACAATGTGCTCCAAAAAGAGTAAGGGTAGATTATATCAGCAAATCATAATGGTTGCTAAATATTGGAAAACAATTATCTTCTCACTGCAGACTACATTTTTACTCCAACCACACATATGAAGGGCCAATTTTAAATGATCTAAAATTATAAGGACATTAGGAAGTGGCAAAAAATGTGTTTACAAGCCAAGCCACAAATCACAAAAGGATTTCAACATGTGGTGGTCAGGGAAAACAATCCATGGCAACTATCACACTCATACTTTATAACAGTAGTTAGAAGCAGCAGTTTCCCATCAATACCAAAGAGCAAGTGGTCAAATGTTAACAGCTTTAAGGCAATATTATGTGGTCCAGATGAAGCCGACTCTGTGTCTGTGTCATGATACGAGAGGCTTCTCTCACTGAACATTCAGGTTTAATTGAGGGACTGGCATGGCTCTCTGGACATGGTTATAGTCGTCCTCGTGTCCTGTGAGCACAGGATTATGCACACTCATTATGTACTCCAGTTTGATAGTGTGTCTTTGTGATAACAGGCTGCTGAAAAGCACATTAGGAGCTGTTCAGATTCCCATCAGCACAGCTGCTCGACGTTTTCTTTGTTTACACTCCATTTACTCTCAAGCCTTCAGTCCTCAGAGGTGAGACATACGGCTCAGTCTGTCATTTACCTGAAGAAAGATGCTCAAATCCTGCACTTCAGAAACAAGCACAAATGCAGTTCATAAACACTTTTATGTCCTCATGGACCCAACGGGTTTGTACTTTAACTGTTAAAACAGACAGTATCATCGCTTTTCAGCTTTTTAATTTTTCTCTCACCAATTGCAACTACTAGTATACAATTATTTATACAAACAGGTAAACATCTGTTCAAAATTAATCTAACACTGAAACTAATGGATCCTTTTTGTTTGTATTATTAACACTTGCACAGTGCAATCCCATAACTGTGAGAAGTGGGGCCATGGTGCTGGCATGGAGGAGTTTATCAACATGGACACTCAGAGAGCTTGGCATCAGGGACCAGAAGTCCACTGGTCCAGATGTGCAGGTCAAGCTTCAGCCAAAAAACAACACAACCAACAGGCTCTATATTATACAGTTTAATGTGGCAGTGACATTGTGAGAAAAGATTAATAATGATGCATCTCATGAATGAAATGTAGTAAAAGTACAAAAATATAGTTATCAACAAACATTCAATCTTGAACAAGGACTCCTGGATCCGTTCAATTTTCTTAGTAGGAAATGCAATGAAGTAAATATCATTAGCACTTTCCTGTGACTCTACCAACTACTCCTGGGGCATTCAGTTGAACAGCATTAGTGTCGGTTTGTGTGGCAAAATTAAATTTTCCTGCTTCTTTCACTCTGTCAAATTTGCTCATATGGTCAGATCCTGTACCACAATAACAGACAATAAATCTATTTAAATGCAAATGGAACAGTCAGTGTGGTTCATTTGACAAGACCTGTACTGAGTCTCTCACAAAAGCTGCTGCAGCCCAAGAATTTACAACCAGCTCAGAGATAATCAGTCCTTCTATCAAACAGCTAATTTATGTTTTATTGTTTATTTATGTTATATTTAATTACCAGCACATGAGTGCTACTAA